AAACTAAAATAAAGATTTGTCCATGAATATATTGAGTATTTGTTTTGAATATTCCATGTGCAAAGTAATTTTCATGTTAAGATTAAAAATACTTTTCCTCATCTCAAAAATTTAAAATTTTCTTTGTGTAATCCCTAAAGCCTCCTAAATACATTTCAAATGCTTTTTTACAGTAAAACTTTAGATTTCTTCTGTTATTTTCCCTACTCTAACTCCAAACGGAATTGGTCAATTTGACCGATCTTGTAACCAGCAAGAAAAAAAATCTAAATAAATCTAAATTACTCTTTTTTTTTCCTTTCTAGAATGACTATAAGTAGCTTTAAGCTCATATTGGTATACATATATTTATAATTTAATTTTATTGTTTTATTGCCCTTTGAACCATGTCTAACTACTATCCATGCCATAAAAAGTTGTATATCACTCAGGGTATGTGTAGCTCACGTTACGCTATCGAATTACATTACCTACATGCTGCTTGCGTGCGTGCCTTGTGAAACATTTTTATTATATTATTATTTATTTTACCTAATTTAATCTTAACTAACCTAAAAGGATCCCTATTTTTACATTTTAGTTACTTTTATAATAATAGATAAATAATAAACATGAAAAACAAGAAATAAATTACTTACCCAATCTTCTTTTGTCGATTATACTTAAGCCTACAAATTTTATACTAATAGTAGCAGTGCATTAAATAATTTTTATTTAATTAAACAATGCACCAAAGAACATAATCTAATAACATTCAAAAAGCAGACAATTTCCGCTAAATCTCAAAAATTTTCTGGCTTTTTAACTATGCAAGAAAAGCCATTACAAATTCATTCAAGCTAGTTGTTAACTTTCCCATGGGAACAAAGATTGTACTCTGAGTGACATTGACACTGCTCAAAACACAACGTTATACAATATTTCATTTGATAGATAAAAACCTCGACTTTCTATTGGTTATAGGTAATTTATAATTAAACGTAAAAGAGAACTATTAACAAAGCCTAAAAGAGAGGACGTGACAGGTAAGTGTGGCAGGAGGGGTGTGATTTTCTAGTTATAAATGTGTTACTGTGTAACTCTAGGGGAAGTTAAAGATTTTTGAAAATATTTGCTTATAGAATTAAGAACTGAAAACTTGTATACTGTTATAATAGGGATTAATAGCTAAGTGGTTATGTCATATTAATTGGTATAAAAGTAGTTTCATAAGATTTTTCACTAAAACTTTCTGTCATGCATAGCAAAGGATACCCGGAGAAAAAAGGTTAATAGATTTGATTTGAGGACTGGGGGCAATTTTCAGACCAAAAGAAAAGCTGTATTAATCCATGAGAAATCTTTCCCTCCCAAAAAAACCTCTGCATACTTTTTCAAGCTTGTCAATATCTATTATAAAATAAGAGCAGAAGTGCACAGGGTACACAAAAGCCACACCAACACCTTATACAATAACTTTTTTTTTGCTTTTAAATTCAAAATCTTTATAGAGAAAATATATTTTGTAACTATTTTTACTAAACTAGAAACAGAACTAACCTCTCCTGTTAACTGCAGCTGTGTAATCAGTTCTTTCATATGATCTTCTCCAGCTAATGGATTAATCTGCAAATGCACCATGTCAACAAACTGTTGCCATGACAACACAGGAAAGACAGCAGAAGACTTCCTCCAAGATGGTAGATGAGAAATCATAGAGTCAAGAAATCCTGTTTGCTTAGGAAGATTCTGAAGAGTAGATATAAAACAATATTTCAAATGTCTCAAACTCCATAAATCATAAATCACATGCATTAAGAAATAATTGAAATATGATGAATACTTAAAAACAAAACAAGTTGAATTACAAAAAAATTTACAACAAAGTTTACATACAAACTCACACACACAAAAAAGAAACAATAATAAAAAACACTATCTCTCCTTTTTTGAGACTAGTACTTCTTCTTTCAGCAACAGAGTATTCTTGAAATTTCACACTCAAGCAAGAAAATGTTTTTGATAAAAAAAAGAAACTAACCAAATATGATATAAAACTGGAGATGTGTTGTTCTATTTACAAATTATAATTTAGGGAGCAATACTGAAGTGCATAAGAATGGATAATTTACTTTACTGAAAATCTACTTATAAAAACAACAACAACAATAGAAAGGACTATTGAATGATTCCATCAACATTAACACTAAGGATAAAAATAAAGCATAATAATGAGTCTTAAATAATGTTATACCAGTCCAAGTCTAAAAAGACAAAAAAAATGAGGCAAAAATATTGAAGTAATATTATGAAAATGTAAAGATTGAACAAAAATCACAGAAAACTTCTAATGTTAACTTTATTAACTGGATGTCATGAAAGACCTGAAATTTATCTTAGCACTTTTTTTATCCTTAACAGAGCAATTTTAATATTTTAGTTACTTTTCTGTATTTTGGCAGAAAACCGTAATGATGTCTTGCTGACAATCTTGGTCCTAAACATTTCAACCAAGTTGACTACTGACTGACTACAAGATGCTTCAATGAAATAAACATGTATCATATGATAGTAATATATCAACAAATTTGCATATTATTCTCATTGTTTAATTATGATAAAAATAAACAATCACATCAAAGCAATATAATTAAAACAATTGAAATGTGGTATATCTTAACTTAACAAGCAATGTTTTCTCTGTACTAAAGAACTGTTTCCAAAGATGGTCCATGTCACAATATAATACTACAAACCAAATAACCGAAATGTGGTATATCGTACCTCAAAAACCTCGACTTTCTCTGTACTGAAAAATTGTTTTAGAAGATGTTCCATGTCAAGGGACAATACTCAAATAAAATCACTGAAATGTGGTATTTCTTACCTGAACAGCCTTGACTTTCTCTGTACTGAAAAATTGTTTTAGAAGATGTTCCACGTCAAGGGACAACACTCAAATAAAATCAATGAAATGTGGTATTTCTTACCTGAACAGCCTTGACTTTCTCTATACTGAAAAACTGTTTTAGAAGATGTTCCATGTCGAGGGACAACACTCAAATAAAATCAATGAAATGTGGTATTTCTTACCTGAACA